ACCTCAAATACCGACTTTAGGCCCTCCCTGATCCTTTCTCAGTCTCCATATCTCTGACCTATAAAATGGGGATAATTACACTACTGTGCATAGTTCATAACATTACAGAATAGCCTATGAGAAAATGAATGCCATATGCTTACTACGTTATTTAGTACATAAAGGGACCTAATAAATGTTAAATATTTTACGCTACACACCTCTCTTTTAACATTTATAACTTTTTGCATTGCATTATAGTTATTTGCCTGTGTCCAAAGACTAATTTCATTAAGTTTGGGGTATGTCTAATTTGTCTTTGAACTACTCATCTCTTATATGTACATAGAGTAGTATATACTATACCTACATACTCATTATATTTTTTCACAGCATATTTATCATACATATATATTTTTAGACATCTGTATATTCACATATATTTGTTATGCTTATTCATACTATACTGATAATTTATACTGAAAAATATGTTATAAGTAAAATATTCAATTATAACCCACAGTTATCATTTATTGTCTAATAAATACAAGTGAGATGTGACTATTCAATCATGAATCCCAGCTCTGGGGCTTGGAGAACCAGTTTAATTACAGCTGTATGTTTCCTGCTCTATCCCTTTCTCTACTAGGAAAAAGTAGCACAGAAATTCTATTCCATCTACTGGGCGGGCACGTCTTGCCTTCATCTTGGCATACTGGTGAACAAAGAAAAATCCTGGTTAAAAGCTGCAAAACAAATAGAGTCAGTTCAGTACTGAGACCAGGCAGTTCATTTTTGTTGTTGTTGTGGGGGCTGCTGGCCCTCAAAGAGGGACTGTGAAATACTGAGGGTGCCAAATAAAAATGTATACATATTTTAAGAGAGGAAAAACTGTATTAAAATTGCAATACTCGATATATACCGTTTGACTTCTGCAATTACAAGAGTTGTTCAAAGTGGTTACCATCAGAGTCCAGACGCTTCTGAAAAGTAATACACAGATAATATCACTTAAAAAGTGTATACATTGTTTTGGTACCCCCTTACAATCTGGGTTGTCATGGCAGAAGAAGCTCCTCAGCATTTTTCTGCTCACCTACACTGTTATCACATTAGACGTTTCACTTGTGTCTGTTTGGTCTCCCTAACCAGACTGTCATCAGAATATAAATATGGCTTCTGTCGCATTAGTGTTTTCTCTAATTCTATCATATTAAGTAATGCCTCACTAACTAATTTCTGCAAGCCAAACTGCTTCCATCATCTTTAAAAAGGAGTCCAAATTATTTGGCCCACTAAAAGGTTGTGTTGAGCGAAAGAAGCCAGACCCAAGAGTACACATTGATACTTCAAAAACAGGCAAAACTAGCATATCTGTTAGAAGTCAGAGCAGTGGTTACCTGAGGCAGAAGTGCTAATTGGAATGGAGTGTGCAAGATATTTCTGGTGAGTTGGCAATGTTCTATTTCTTGATCCAAATGCTAGCTTCACAGGTGTGTTCAGTTTGGAGAAAATAAGCTTAGGATAGATGTCCTTTTCCATAAGGATAATTTATTTTATCTCAATAAAACATTTGATTTTTGTGTCATCTCTGCCTAAAGTAAGCGAGAAACTAGGAAGACTTGGAATGTGGGCATCTTTTAATCACATTATGAGTTAATGTCATTTCAAAGATTTTGTTTTGTCTTATCTCCTTTGATGAGAATGGGAACATGTTTTCATCACACAGATTCCTATGTGCCCTTTTCCTCTGTCCTGATTGAGTCTATGAGCCAACAAAACTTAGGGAAAATAAAAACTAAGTTCTGTATTTCCACCTTATTTCCAATATAATAGCCTCTCCAAAAAAACAATTACAGAAACACAGGAAATGACTTCTCCAGAGATAAAAATGTGCATGTGATACCACTTCCTGAATTATCTCTTCAAGTAGTACTACTTCTATAATCTACAATTACAAATTAACATTCCAACGCCAAAGATCAATAACTACAATATGAAAAGGACAACAGTGAAAAGAATGAATATCCTCAGGCCTAATTTACTAGCAGGAAAGAATACTCAGAGAAAAAAAATAAAAGGCCAAGAACACCAAGCTCTCTTCTGAAACGATGGAAAGACCATTTTCTGCCATATTAATGAAGGCAGGCCTGATACAAAATATTACTTTGATATTATTTAATCTCCCACACCCAGTCTATTTTGGTCCAGGAGCAATTTCACCCACTAGGAGGACCCTGGAGGTCATCCCTACCTCCCCCAACAAAAAAAGTTGCCTTTCCTATTTGAAATGATGGTCAACTTCCTCCTAAGCAAACCAACCAATGCCAGGTATTCAACTCTGATAATCTGACTACTATTAAGGAAGTGAGTGGAATCAGGAAATCAAACAAAAGATGCTCTCCCAAATCTGGCCAACAGTGAACCAAGGAGAGAGAAAGTTGTCATAGCAGTAGATAGATTTAACTACTCATACTCAAGGATTGCTGAGTCCTCTGGGGAAGGGGGAGAAGGAATTAACAAACTACGAATAAGGAGAAGTGTTTTGAAAATAATGAAATGCCCCCCGCCCTTCCTTTCAAAGGTAGTGTTAGATCTAGTCTGACTGCACAGAAAACTATTGAAATAGATGAAAACTGAACTATGGTTAAAGATGATCCTTAAACTGCAGCTTGTTCTCAAATTGCAAAAAAACACAAAACCAAACCAAACAAACATATAATGCCACACTCTCCTATCTGAATCACTTCGAACTTTCCCAGAACAACCTTCATTGTGGCAAGTCTTTTTCTGCAAACTTTTGCAGGTCACACCTGCTTCACACAGCACCACCGGAAGCAACCTTGGAGGTGGGAGACGAGAAGAAATAGGAAGATTTAAACCAACACAAAGCAATTTTGTGCCCAAAAGAGCTCCCCAGTTTAATCTAAAAAGGGAGGTCCGGTGAGGAACAAGACAGAGGGGGAAACAGACGTCTGGCTAACTCCCAATGCAGAAATCATGACTCATCAAAGCTTTCAGAGAGGGGAGAAGACTTCGCATTTGTCTTGAGTTCATCTTTGGGCCAAGAAATGCCCTCTGAACTGGCAACTGGAAACCTTAAGAGTCTGTCCTGGGTCTGCGACAACTGGCTGTGAGGCCTTGGGCAAAACCCCTCAAGTTTTTGGTCTGAAGCTCTGAAGCTCTGTTCCCTCATCGGTAGCTGGTCGCCAAGGTCCCCTGGAGCTTTAACAGTCAATACTTAAGATACCCGGTCCCAGAACCTAAAGGCAATTGGGCCACTGGGGGGAGCTGCAGAACTTCCCTCTCCTCACCAACTCCAGGGCCCCAGGGCCCCAACTCTGGAGAGATGCTGATGTCCTGGAAGAAGGTGGGTCTACGGGCTCGTGAAAAAGGTGCAAGAGGCCCCCTCTCTGTAGAAGGGGGCTTCAATAGCAGGACTTCAGTCCCTACGAACTCTGCTCTCAGCGATTCCGGAAGTAGCCCCCTACCCCTGCCCCGGGTTTAGAAATTTCAGAGACGAGGGCCAAGCTGACGCCGGGGAAGCCTAGCTGGGGGCTGGGGGCTGGGGGGAGGGCAGAGAGAGCAGGGGGGCGGAGACCTCGTC